GCGAGAACGGATAAGAGATTGGCCATTTTAACTATGCGAACAACATCCCTAGTGACCGTTATCAGAAAATGTGTTTCAAGCTTATCTTGCTTCTCTACCACCCTCTTTATCTCTCATCTAAGCGGGAAGCGACGCAACGCCGACGACGACGCAACGATAAACCGCAAAAAAGACGGGCGTTGCGCAACGAAGGGGGCTAAATCCTTCTCTCTATATGTATATGTATAAATGAAACGTTTTTCGATCGATCGGGATTCGGAAATTGATGATGATGACGGTGGTGAAGTACTTCGTGGTGAACCCCTTCGTGGTGAAGAGGGTTAACAAAGAAACTGGTATAGCCTAGCTGCTAGGAGGATAGGGATATCGTTGGGGGTGCTAAGGAAGGGATGGCAAATGAGCCGGAAAGAGGGGGGATGAAACTGGAAAGATGTTTGATACTGTATGGTAAGGCTATAAATCATTTTGACACACAAGAAAGGAGTGAGACAAAAGAAATTGTGGTTTTAAGGGTGTCTAGAATGTGTGTGTCTCGTCAAAAATATGTGGTTTTTGAGGGGGGTCTAAGCTTAGGGCGAATACTCAACTGCTATTTCTCAACTGCTATAGTTGGCTCTTCTGCTATGGATCAACTGCTATTTTCGCCACTTTTGATGTTTCAACTGTTATGGCTATTTTCTCAACAGCTATAGTCGTAGTAGCAGTAGCAGTAGCAGGCTATAGCAGTTGATCCATAGCAGAAGAGCCAAATATAGCAGTTGGGAAAATAGCTATAGCAGTTGAGAAATAGCAGTTGATCACACCATAGCAGTTGAGTATCTATCTAGACTGATGGGAGGGTCAGAACTAATAATTCCGGCTAAGATTGGATGAATGGAAAGTCAGAAAGGGAAATATCGCGAAAATTGTGAAAACTAGCATTTTTCTAGCATTGCCATAGAGCGCATTTTCGTGTCATCATTTTTTTTGAACGCAAATTTGCTCCATGGCAAAGCTGTAATTCAAAAAATTCGGCGACTAAAAAAAATTTTTTTTTGAAAAAATCTCATCGAATAAATTTTAGAGCTCATGTCGCAGCATGGTGCATCGACCAAATTGGTAAAATACTGTAGCTATTGTCTCAACTGCAATGTTTGGCTCTTCTGCTATGGATCAACTGCTATTCTCAACTGCTATCGGGGTGATCAACTGCTATCGCTATTGTCTCAACTGCTATCGCTATAGCAAATGATCCATAGCAGTTGAGTATCTACCAGCGCTAGAGTATAAGATGCTTAGAAAATTGGAAAATGGTCATTTTTCCTTAGGTAGACCATTAGATCAATTGAATAACAGAGTAAGAGTCACTGTAAGATAAGGGCAAAACACAAACTGAAGCGGCAAGCTGCACCTTACTTGCCCTAACAACCTAGCTGAATTTCAATTGCTCAGGAACTTTAGCAAGCTCCCAACATGGTGCACCAACCAAAAGCGCAAGCTACTTTGGGAATTTTGAGTAAAACACCAGCTGAACCGGCAAGTTGCCCTTCCAGTGGTGCACCAACCAAACCCATTACAAAAACATCATCCTAATCGACCGATTAATCAATCGCGCGCGCCCCCCAATAAAAATATTTTCTCTTACACAACAGGTACTTATCAATATATTCACTTACCACTAAACAAAAAGCAGAAATACAAGAAAAATAGGCAACTTCGATGGAGTCTTCTCATTGTGTTTCTCTTCTTCTCCGCAAAAAATCTGACCAGTGGTGCCACCGGCGACTCGACTGGACGAAGGTTAAGAAGGAGGAAAAAGGGGGTCGAGAATTTCGAAAAAAAAAAGATAAGGGGGGAGGTGTGTCTTCCCAAGAAACAGAAGACCTGAGGGGAGGTGGTCGGGAGGGGGCGGAGTCAGGTACGGGTAACAAGTATAACCTTGGAGAGAAGGGTATTCTAACGCAATTCGAAACACACACAGAGAGGGTGGTTTCGCCCCCTGCCAAAGAGACAGAAGACGATGCTTTTCCCAAAAAAAGGCAACACAGTGACAGAAGTGAGAGAGTGAGAGAGTGTTAAAGATGAGAGAGACCTAGAAGATAGACACAAAACGTCGTTTTTCGATGGAGGGGTGGGGCGGGAACCCGCGCTTGGAGGCGTCAGAGGGGGGGCAGGCTTCTGCGCTGCCGTCTCTCCTCATCGCAGCGTTTCCGTGTTTTTTTTTCGGGTGATGTTGATGGTGGTTGGGCCTTATGGAGATTTAATACGAGGAGATAATGGATTTTCTCACGGGAACATGTGGAATGGCAGCATCTTCTTGGAACAACAAAAACACAAATTCAGGCCCGATTTGAGCTTTTTTGGCGGTTTTTGGAAAGTGCGCTCTACTGAACTTTTGCTATGAAACCCTTTGGAATTGTAACACCAAGTTGAGAAAAATGCACAAAAAATTTCAGCTCGATTTGAGAATTTTTGATTTTTCGGAGAAAATGCGCTCCACTGCACTTTTGCTATAACTCCCTTTGATATTGCCAAGCCGAGCTGAAAATTTCGGAAATGACTGAAACTGCCTCAACAAAAAAACACAAAGAATTTCAGCTCGATATGAGAATTTTTAATTTTTCGAAGAAAAAGCGCTCCACTGCACTTTTGCTATAACTCCCTTTGATATTGCCAAGCCGAGCTGAAAATTTCGGAAATGACTGAAACTGCCTCAACAAAAAAACACAAAAAATTTCAGCTCGATTTGAGCATTTTTGATTTTTCGAAGAAAATGCGCTCCACTGTACTTTTGCTATAACTCCCTTAATAATGGCAGCATAAGACTCCAAATTCTACACCAAACTGCGGACAATTTCAGAAAACGACGAGAAAAATTTCAGCTCGATCGGAGCAATTTTTACTTGATCCTCGGAGGAGCAGTTGCGCTCAACTGCACTTTTACTATAACTCAATTCAAAATGGTCGGAGAAGGCTGAAAATTTTACAGCATACTTGGATAAGCTTGGGAATCTCGCTCCCCAAATTTCAGGCGGTTCTGACAAGACCTAGAAAACCCGGCTTGTTTTACAAGTGAGGGCCCGCTCTCAGGGCAAGCTGATCTGAGCAACGAGCTTCCCTGGCAAGTTGCCCAGTTGATCAGTCTTCCATTTTCCCTCCTCCAAAGGAATTTCACCTTCACACACATCATCATTCAATTAGGTTCAGATCCCCCCTCCCATTTTTTCCATTACCAGGCTCGATTGGAAAAGAGACAGAGAGAATCAAACATCTTCCAAGACAGAATCCAAGGAGAGAAAGTTATTGGAGAGAGAAGGTAAACAGGGAGAGAGAGAGAGAGAGAGAGAGAGAGAGAGAGAGAGAGAGAATGGTCAACCAACAATGAATCAAGAATTGAAAGTAAAGGAAGAAGAGGGAGATGGTCAAGATGATGGGAGAGAGGGTGACAAGTCAATATGATGTCTAGTTTTTTGGAAGAAGAGAAGGATTTGTATGGATTCAGGATCTTCTTGACACCTTTTGGATAGGTAGTCTAGTAGAAAAAAGTTAGGTGACTTCGGGGGATGGTAGGGGCCTTTTGAGCTCTGAAACAGTCGGCACGTGCAAAAAATTGCAGATAGTGGATAAGAAAAACTAGAACGAATTTCCTAGTGCATGCTAGGACAAGTTGCCTTGCAATCTGACAATTTTTCTGGCAACTTGCCGTGAACGGTCACCTTACCTAGCATAGGGTTGCAAGCTGCCTCAATATGGTGCATCGACAAGTGACTACAGTAAAGCGAAGGGCAAGATGGTAAGTGGTGGCAAGTTGCCGGTTGTTCAGTAAAGCTGTAATTTTTGTTGGCAACTTGCCCATCTTTACTGGCCATCTGCTCTTTCTTGGTGGCATCTTGCCGTTCTCGGGGATTTTGTCTGCTTTGCTTGTCGCTCTTGTTGCCAACCTATTCTTGGTTACTGCCAAGCTGCCCATCCCCTCTGGCAAGCTCTCCTTCTTAGCCGGCAAGATGGCAAACTGCTCTTCTTCGCTGGCAACCTGCTCTTCGTTACTGCCAAGCCTGGCCGTCTTTACTGGGAAGCTACTCTTTCTTGCTGGCATCTTGCCATTTTCGGGGGCCTTGCCTGCTTTGCTGCCGCTCTTAATGGCAACCTGCTCTCGGTTACTGTCAAGCTGCCCACCCCCTCTGGCAACCTGCTCTTCTTTTCTGGCAACATGTACTTCTTTGCTGACAACCTGCTCTCTATTACTGGCAACCTGCCCTTCTTCACTGGCAACCTGCTCTTTGTTACTGGCAACCTGCCATTTTTTACTGGCAACCTGCCATTCTGGGCTGAGTACCTGCTCTTTGTCACTGGCAAGCTGCCAATCCTCTCTGGCAACCTGCCCTTCTTTCCTGGCAAACTGCCCTTCTTCCCTGGCAACCTGCTCCTCTTTTCCGGCAACCTGCCCAGTTTTTACTTTTCATTTTCCCATATTTTTTTTGTATTATTTTCCGCCACAATTTTTTTCCCAGGCAAACAACCTTCCACCACCACTCCTCAATTTTCATTTTCTTCTGTATTCTTTTTTTCAGTAAACATCATAAAAACTCGGCATTATTTGTCAATACTGTCCCAATTTTTACAACTTCCTGGGGCTGCTTAAGGGGTCCTAGCCAAAAGGGAAAAACAAAGGGATGGTCATTGACCCCACCACATTCTTCTTCGTCTGTTTTCAGAAGAGGTCAAGCATTCGAGAAGACGAAGGAAAAAACTCGATTCTGTGCCCCCCCCCCCTCTTTCGCCACCCATGAACAGTCACTTTATACATACTATCAAAATGGGAAGGGGAACAATGACTGACTTAGAAGAGAGGGGTTTCAGAAGTATTGTGACTCATGAATCTGAAATTTCACCGATTTGGGAATGCTGTAAGCACTTGAAAGGTTGGTACTTGACAGGTACCTCAAAACTTGAGTGGACAGGACGTTTAGAGTTTGTTCTTGAAGACCGTACGGTCTTAGAAAAAAAAAACAAAAAAAAATTGACCATGATGGGGTTCGAACCCGCGCCCAGAGATTCCAAAACAGCAGCGTTAGCCACTACACCACGCACGCGAAAAGAGGAAGAAAGGGGAGAGGGGGTAGATCTTGCTGCGGATTTTCCCTTTTTCCGGACAGTGCCCTAAAATCAAAAAAAAAATTAATAATTGTCAAATTGTACGAACAACTAAGAAATTTTCTCCAGAAAAGAACTGGAATTTGCTCAGATTCGGCAATTTCATCGATGCACAATAGTCTTAGCCATAGAGCGGACTTGGAAAGCTCATACCTATAAGTAGAGGTGTACCCAGTACTAAAAGCAGACTATCTCGATAGCCTTTAGAGCTATCAAAAAGTTTTTAACTAATAAAATGTGTAAAATGTTTTGATAAACATTTCTCAAGTTGACCACTTTTTAATATCTCTTAAAGTAACCGAGATATATTGCTCTGAACATGTAGTACTTGTGTGCCGCAGTATCGCATAAAGTACTGTATGTACAACGCAGCATATCTCAGTTATCTTATAAGTTATCAAAAAGTTTTCAACTAATAAAATGCTTAAAATGTTTTAATACACATTTCTTTAGTTAAACAAATTTTGAAATTTTCAAAGCTAATCGAGATAAACTGCTCTGAACATATAGTACTTGATGTTCTGCATTTACGCATAAAGTACTGTATGTACAAAGCAGTATATCTCAGTTGTCTTAAGAGCTATCAAAAAGTTGTTAACTAATAAAATGTGTAAATTGTCTTGATGAACATTTGTTTAGTTAACTACTTTTTGATAGCTCTTAAGACAACTGAGATATACTGCTCTGAACATGCAAAGCTTTTTTTCAGGTGTTTTTTTTTCAAGTAAAGGTTTTTTAATACTTCTCTGTAATTCTTCTTATTTCCCAACTTGTCAAATGACCCTCTTCTGATCAATGCCGCATGATGATAAACCCTAAGGAATTTAGAGAAAAATTCTTACACGAAAGGTCAAAAGGGGGAACTAAACAATAAAATTACACACCGCAACTGCCGTGTATCTTCTTGAAGATACACACAAAAGTAACTGACAACCATGTCTTAATCTTTTTTGTCGGTGTGTGTTCTGATTGAATTCCTCTTCCCCGTCTTCTTAAACAACAGAAACTCGATAGTGCGTTCTCACAAGTTCTCAGTTTCCCCCCTTGACTTTTTAGGTCATTCATTGTCTACTTTTTTCGAGGCACGCGCGTTTTCAGATGAAGAAAATGACACTGTCTTCATAACGGAAAATGGTGGGGGAAGAAGGGAGAACAATGGACATTACAGCCGCCTTGTTCGAGTAGTAGACCCCTGTGATATAATGATGGCCAGTGATCATAGCCAGGGGAAGGTTGAAACAAGGGGGGACAAAGCTAGGGTAACTGACCGATTTTTGTTCAAAAAATCATACAGAAGTTGTGTTCAAAAATCTCGGTGAACATTGAATGTTGGAACAATAGGCTTCTAGCTTCTGATAGCTTTGTTTCTTTTGTGGTTACGGCTTGATTTTTTGAGAGTAAGACCTCTTTTTTCTTAGACGGAAGTCGGAAGTCAGATAAACAGGAAACTCTGAAATCCAGACAAATTGGAACTTGATGACCTGGTATCAGATATCTTAAGACCAGGGCCTTTTTCGGCCGCGGCCGTTTTCATTTCTCGCTTCCTATGGATATTTCCGATGTAAGAGGCGGCCTCGTAGATCATGAAAAGCTGAGAATTTTGACCAGAGGACGTCCTGATTAAGTTATCCGCGGCCTACTTATGGGGCCGCGGCCAGCCGTCTAACAGTCTTGCATAGGTAGTCCTGTACTGTATGTTCAGAGCAGAATATCTCGATTTTCATTGAAGCTGTCAAAATGTGGTCAACCAAAGAAATATTTATCATTAAATTTTGAACATTTTATTAGTTGACAACTTTTTGAGAACTCCAAAACCAACTGAGATACGCCGCTTCTAAAACACAGTACTGTATGCAGTACGCCCTGCACTACCTTCAAAGCTGCATAATTCGGTTGGTTTCAAAGCTATCAAAAAGTTTATAACTAGTGAAGTGTTTGAAATGTAATGATAAACATTTCTTTAGTTAAACACTTTTTGCTAGCTCTAAAGACAACTGAGATATGCTGCTAAAACATAGAGAACATTCATTATAGGCCTTACGGTATAGGTACATCCATCACTTAATGTTCAAAGTTGAATATCTTGCTCGTCTTTAGAGCTATCAAAAAGTTGTTAACAAATAAAATGTTCAAAACTTATTGATAAATATTTCTTTAGTTGGTCACTTTTTGATAGCTCTAAAGACAACTGAGATATGCTGCTTAGAACCCGGCGCAGTAAAAAAAAACTATACTTCATTAGCCTCCCACTGACCATCACCTCCCGCAATTCTAAATTTACACACACACACCCGCTCATATGATTCACGTAGTAAATAATGTGATTCGATCTTAACAAGACACATAAATGACCTACTAGATCAACGTTTATTTTTTGTGTTTGCAGACAAAGTGTAATTGTCACAGATCATATAGGTCAGCAAATTTTCTTAAAAAATGAAGATGAAAACTAAAAAGATTATGATTTTTTTTTGAAAAAAAAATCAAAAAATCTTCAAAAATCAGCTGAATGCAACCAAATTAACATAAAACATTCTAAACTTTGATCTAATCATTAGCAATTACCCTCCCTCCCAACCTCTACGCATTTATATAAATGAAGGTTGATGATGATGATGATGATGTGGATGTAACAAGAAAAATAATTAGCCACCGCTGACAAGAAATTTATTACACTTTTTTCCCAATCACAAGTTTTTTTTTGGGTTGCTTTTGTAAAAGTGAAAAAGAGAACAGTTTTTAGGCAAATACTCAACTGCTATCGGGATGATCAACTTCTATATTTGGTTCTTCTGCTATGGATCAACTGCTATGGTTGTGATCAATTGCTATTTTGTAGCTGCTATTGTATCAACCTGGGCTGTGTGCAAAAAACTTTTCAAAAATTTGTTTTTTTTTCGGTTTTTCGGTAATTTTCCGAAAAAATTTTCGGAGGAAACTGAAAAAAAAATTTCGAAAAAAAAACGGTTTCTTAGTTGATGTTTTTATGATTTTACCGCCTATTTATCCATTTTTTCCTTGAAAAAAACGAAAAATTTTGAAAAAAATCGAAAAAAAAAACCCGGAAAATCATTTTTCGTTTTTTCTCGTTGAAAAATTTGAAAAATAATAGTTTTTCGAATTTTTTCGGGCCAAAATTTTCGAAGAAAAAAATTTTTCCGACTTTTATCGGTCCGGAATTTCGAAAAAAAAAAAAGTTTTTTTTCGTTTTTTTCACCCTGAAAAATTTTTCTTGAAACTTTTTTTCACACAGCCCTTGTCTCAACTGCTATATTTGGCTCTTCTGCTATGAATCAACTGCTATTTTCGCCACTTTTGATGACTAAACTGGTCTGACTATTGTCTCAAATAGCAGTTGATCGATAGCAGAAGAGCCAAGTATAGCAGTTGAGACACGAGCAGTTACAACATAGCAGTTGATCACCCCCGTAGCAGTTGAGATATAGCAGTCAGGGATGTGCGAAAAAAAAATTCCGAAAAAAATCGAAACATTTTTTTTTGAATTTTTCAAGGGGTTATTGTCTCAAATAGCTATTGATCCGTAGCAAAAGAGCCAAATATAGCAGTTGATCACCCCCATAGCAGTTGAGTATCTTCCTACTCTTCGGGCAATCTTTGGGCAATTTTTGATCAAACTTTATACAAAATTAGAACCCAAACTTCCCCTTCATCATATCGTTCCCTATCCTTTCCCCTGTCCTTTCGCTTCTTCTCTGTCTGTCATGTTCGCGTGCCTGGCGTCCCCTGGTACCAGGCACGTAATTAATAAGAAAGAGAGAAAATTTTACTTCATGATGTGTACAAAAAATACAAAAAATGCAGATAAACAACCCTGAAATTCGGAATTTTTCCAAAAAAAAGTAAAAATAAAAAAATTAGTGCTCCTTGTAGTCCTGTTCCTCTTTATCCGGCTGTTCATTGACCTCTTGATCTGCAAAATGTAACCATTTTGCTGCGTAATTGCCGATAGATAAGATCAAACCCAAAGAAAGATTTATGTTCGGTACAAGGGTGCTAAATCATTCGGGAAGTGTTAAACTAGACGGGTAACAATCATGTAAACAGTTGCTGGCAAGTTGCCTGGCCAAGGGCAGCTTGCCGCTTGCCGACGGTTAAGAAGTTGCTAATCAGTGAATGATAGGCAAGTTGCCGTTGGTTGCCGCTATGCAGCTTGCCCTTCGCTAGATAGTAGATGCACCATGTTGCGGCTATAGCCAGCTGCCAGCAGAACTGGCAACTTGCCGCTAAGCAACTTGGGCAAGCAATTGGCAAGTTGTCCAGTGGCAACTTGCCATTTCAGCTGGCAACTTGCCATTTCAGCTGGCAACTTGCCATTTCTCCTGGCATCTTGCCAGTTTCACTGGCACTTATACCTAAGGCCCCCATGCATTTCCGGCCCCTCTAAGGCCCCCTTCCATCAGGGACACTCTATCCATACTTTCAAATCTCTATATCTTATAATAAAGAAAAGTTATTTTTTTTCTCCTTCTCGCGCCTTTTTGTGTCGAGGTCACCCCCCTCTTTTGATATGTTCCCGCCTGCTTTGCAGATACATACCAAAGGGATATGCAAAACATTTTTGGGAGAAAGAGAGAAATTCAAATAATGGGATAGGATCCTATGAATCATAAGCTACCGTAAACCGGCCCTCTAGAGGTGTCTCGGTTGGATTTGATGCTATCGTGATGAAAAATATACTAATCGAATCAGCGCGTCAAGACAGTTCGAATGAGTATAATCATGACGAGTTTTCGAAAAAAAATTTTTTTTTGGGTCCCACCACGAAAACACAAAATCTGCCGTATCTCGGTTAGATTTGCTGCTATCGTGATGAAAAACATATCATTCGAATCAGCGCATCAAAACGGTTCGAATAAGTATAATCATGCATAATTTTCGAAAAATTTGATTTTTGGGTCCCGCCACGAAAACACAAAAT